GTACTTGCGAGGTAATGGAAGATCCATGCTACAGCTTGGTAGTGTTGCATTGTTGGCTTGCTGAAAACTGCGCTACAGTGCTCACTACGTAGCTAATATCAGGATGATTGAGAGTTTGTGCATACAAAAGACACCCTATAGCTGCGGAATAAAGAAACGTAGGTGGGAGGGACTATCCACTAATGTCGAGTTTAGTGTTGGGGTCGCTAGGTACATTCACCAGAATGCATTCATTGAAACCAAAACGGCTCAATATTCGTCTGAAATAAATTGCTTGATGGATGAAGATGTGTCCGCTGGCTTGGAGACAAAGGATGTGAAGTCCGACGTAAAGGTTGGGGTTTAAACGGGTAATCCCAAAGTGTCGTTCCATGTGATGGACGAGGTCCTCCAATCGGGCGGCTGAAGAGCAAATGGCCAAACTGTCGCCCTCGAAAAGAGTCATAATGAGCCGCGTCTTTGACTTTGAGATGTATACGTAGTGATCTACTTCTGTTGCTTCGAGGTTGAATTTCATGAGAAATTTGTGGAATGTCTGATTTTAGATTCGCCCGGACTATTTTAGGCTGTACAAGCTTTTGAGTAAGAGACGTACCTTTTATGGGTTGTCTTGGCTCATGACTTTGAATCCCTGTGGCTGCTGCATATAAATTTTGGTGTCAAGCGAGCCATACAAGAATGCTGTTTGTATATCAAATTGGATGATTGGCATGCACTATTGAACTGCGATGGCAAGCACCGTTCAAATTGATTCGTATTTTACCATGGAGCTAAACATTTGGTCATAGTCGATCCCAAACTGCTGTGTGCACCCTTTTGCAATGAGCCGTGCTTTGAACTTTGCAACGGATCCATCAGAGTGTGTCTCGATCATGTACACCCACTTGCAGCGTATCAGTTTTCGATCTGGTAGTAAAGAGATTAGTCGCCAAGTCTCATTTTTCAACAGTGATTCATGCTCTGCCTCCATTGGCTTTTCTCCATTCTGTTGCTTCGAGACTTGCGAGTTCCTCTTCATAAGTGTTGGGACCATCCAGGATGTATTGACTTGAGGCAACGCTGGCGAACGTGTTGGGAACCACGTAGTCCCGAAGATATGTTGGTATACTGCGGATGCAAGAAGAGCAAGTTGGCGGAGGCAGTAGAGCAAAGTGCAATGGGTTGACGTTGATGGTTGGGTTTTGAGTCGATGAACAAGCACAAGATTCGCTACTTGGTTCATTTGTGCTTGGTTTCTTGAAGATCTAGTCTGTTGCTGTCAGTGTTTCTACTTGCTCCAAGGGCTTCGAGCATCGTAGTGTGATTTGTTTTGGTGCGAGAGGCTGGATTTTGCTCACATCTTACTGTGGTTCAATTAGTGACTGCTGTTCCGAGAAGAGTCCTAAAAAATTTGTTGGGATGTTTTGCCTGGGGAGTGACATCTCGTCAAAAATTACATCGTGGCTTATCATTATTTTTTTGCTTCTGCAAATTCTAGAGGCTATATGCCTTAGTGTAGGTACAATACCCAACAAAAATTGCTTTTTTGCTTTTTTGATCCAATTTGCTCCTTCCTCCTTTCGGGATGTGCACGTATGTGATGCATCCAAAAAGGTGCAAGTGTGACACGGTCGGCACCCATCCGGTCCACAATTCATATGGGATTCTATAGTTCCTCGTACGGGAAGCTGTTCGGTTTAGGATGTAGGCAGCAGTCTGGACCGTTTCCCCCAAAAATTCAGGCTTAGTTTTTTTGTGTACAGCATTGCTTACACACATTCCATCAGTGTGCGGTTCCCCCTTTCAGCACTTTCATTTTGCTCTAGAGTGTGGGGGCTCGTAGAGTCGTATTGGATGCCTGAATTAACTAAAAATTGAGTGAATTCTTGGCTCAAAAATCCCCCCCCCCTTGATTGCTGCGGAGTTTCTGTACTCGATTCTTTGTTTGCTGGAGTATGAGTGCATAGATCTCTTTAAACTTTTGAAACACATCCGACTTGTACTAGATACAATAAATATTTCTATACTCCAAAAAATCATCCTTAAAGAGAACGAAATAGTGGGCTCTGCGTACATTTTTATAAAAAAAACTCAGCTGGTTTTTTGGCCCTCGGTGAAGACCACTACTTCGAGAATGCTTCCTGGCATTCTTCCCCATTACACATCTCTCGCATGGGGCCTTTGGCACTGCATGACTCTGCAAGCCCAAACCATGCAAAGTATTATGCATGTACATGTGCACAATCATGACACTGTGCACATGCCCAAAACTTTCATGCCACAGGGTTGGTTTTCCCGGTTGTACTTTGATTTGTTCCTCTTTTTTGGGTCCCACTAATGCCTCTGCTTGCTTTGCCTTCTCAAGTGAGTCAATTGTTTCACTTTCATCTATGTCTGCTTTGGCAGAGGGCATCCACTAATGTCCTGAGAACATCATTGTTTGGTGGTAAAGGAGATGGGCAGCAGCCGCTTCAATGCTTTTGGAGGTTGTAATCGTCTTGGAGAATCCTTGCGTGTTGGCCTTCCCTGTTTTAGATCCCATTGTGCTTGCTGAAGATTTTATCATACTTATTGGATTCAAATTTGTATCATCACATCTGCTGTGTGCGTCTCTTGTCGTGGCAATGTGGGCTTGGGCGGCTTGACATTCGACTTTGAAATCCAGCTTGTATAATTTGTTAATTCGAATTTCTGTTAAAATAATCTTTTTCTGCCCTTCAAGACTTGTGAGGTAGCATATGCGGCGGGTGTATGTGGTAACGAAACCTTTGTCGGCTGCTTGCCCTACAGAGAAGATGTTTTTTTGTAGTTTCGGGACGTAGGGGACGCGGTGGATGTGTTGTGGCTTTCACGCATTCTCAAGCTTACATTGTATGTTGATCGGGCCGACACCTCGGACCTAGAGCCGTCTATTGTCAGCGATTATTACAAGCCATCGCCCTTGGGGTACGGTTTTTAGCGAGACGAACCAATCTAGTCGGTCTATCATGTGGTCTGTCGCGCCTCCGTTCATGTATTAAGCGTCGGAGTCATCCACGGGTTCGTCAATGTGCGCCATGAATGCCATGTTATCCTATTCGAACTCTTCAGTGATGGTAGTGTTTGCCTCGTATTTCTTTATGCCGCTGTTTTTGTTTTTTTTCAAATGATCTGTTTTTGTCGTCGTCGAGGCATTTGTGCTCCCAATGCCCCCTCTTTCCATATTTTTGGCACTTGGTTTTCTTCTTAAGTTCTGCGATCTTGGCAAATTGCCTTTTTCTCTCTTTGGTGGAGAGACGTCTTAGATTCAAAGCTTGGCCTTGGCCTCAGCTGGTGAAGATGGCTTTTTTTCCATCTTCGTTCATGCCCTCTTGAATTTTGTTTCGGCTTTCCTCCTTGAGTAGACATAGCATGAAGGCTTCTACTGTCTGCTCAGTTTTTGGGACACAGTCTCATCCTAAGAGAAGGTGGGGAAAACAATGCGGCAAAGTGCTTAGGATCTTGTAGATCACAACTTGGTCCAAAATGGGTTCTCCTAAGTTGAGTTGGTGTGCAAGTTGTTCGATGGAGCTCACGTGATCAACTACCTCAGTGTTTGGCGTCATCCGCATGTCAAAAAATTGTAATTGTAACAATTGAATGTTCTTCGTTGCATTCTATTTATGGATTGTGCACAGCCGTCGCCACATCTGGATAGCAATGTGGCAACTCATTAACTGACGCATTAGTTTTTTTTTATCAATAGCGGAAATCAAGAAGGACTGACATGTTGCATCCTTAACGATCCATTCCTCTTCATCCGCGAAGGTTTCTCTCAGGGTCATTCCATTCACTATCTCTAGCAACTTTTTCGCGCAAAATAGGATTGCTCATTTAGAATTTCCAAACAGGAAAATTGTCCCCAGTGAGTTTATTGATGTGGGTAACACCAATGCTAGCTACATCTGGTCTAGGAGAGGACTGCGAGACGAGAGATGGGAAGCTAGCGGCAGTCTGGCTGCGAGCAGATGCGCCTGAGGTTGCTTCCTGGACTAGATCAGATTCTGTATCGCGAACTTCCTCTATTCTATCAAAAAGAAGGGGATGAGAAAGGTGGAGGGCGATGAGGTGGTCACTTGAAGAGGAGGATGCAAAGAAAAGTTATGAGCTTTTCTTTTCTCTCGTAGAAAATGTTGTACGATTCAAAAAGAGAGGTGGAAAGAATCTACTATTTAGGGAGCACAGGGCAGCAAGAAACTTGGGTCCATAACCTATTGAGAATAAAGTGAAAAGATGCTCAACCCATATTTGATCTACACACACATGAGACCTTGCAAAAAGTTCTGCTACTTGCATTAAACAGAAGGTCGAAAATAACACACCTATCTTTTTCGTGAATGTGCGTGGGGTCTTAAATGTCGCGCACCCTAACAAACTAGTTTAAATCATCATTTGCCTTAAACCAAATTAGTTATGTGCCCGAACCGCGCAGGTGGGCGCGCGAGTGTGTTGGAAGGGCGTGCAATGGAAGTTTGTTTCTCATCCGACTTGGAAGGTTGCTTTTCAACAGAACATTCTGTCAATTTCAGAAACAAGCAAAACACCAATTCATAATGAGATAAGTTCCCAAGCGTGTCCGCTGTCAAAACAAACACTTCAGATGAAGCATTTTTCACACTTTGGGCATGGGCGAAGAGAAATATGATTTGTTTTGAATTTGATCTCTATACTCCAGCTCCGATCGTGAAGTCCACATTGCAGACATGCTCGTCCTCCAAAAATCTTTGCCATGAAGCTTAGTGAGCTGTCACCGTTATGACATGTCAATCAGATTTGAACGGAATGTTTCGACCTTGTCCGTTTGGCTTTTAAAATGATGTACAACGATGATATTTCTCAGAGGGTCAGACCTGGCTCACGTGACTTAGATTAGTTGCTTATGCGAGACAAGTCATGCTCCGACTCACCCTCCTACGCAACTGCTTTACAACCGTGTTGAACAATCCTCAGCTGTTGCTCTTGCGAGCTCATTCACATGAACCAGCATCACTACTTCAACAATGTGACAGAATTGCATTGTATTGAGTTGGTTAAGAACCAGGACCTTCTGGTGAATGTTCACATTTAAATATTTACTCATCCATTCCCCGAGACCAGGGCTACAATCACACCCCAACCATGCGTCGTTATACGTGCAACACCCATAAACATATATATATATATATATATATATATGTGTGTGTGTGTTGTGAGTGTGTATTGTATTGTGTTATGTTATGTTACACCTCTCCCTCCCTCTGCACCACCACATCGCACTCACTCTCACTCTCACTTCCTCTCCACCTCCAAATCCCCGACCCTCTGGAGCATCTCCACAATCGCACCTCTCCGTCACGTCACGTCACGTAATGTAACGTAGTAGCTGGATGATCTCCAACACTCCCTCGCCAATCTCGCACTGTCCCTCTACAGCTTCATGCCACACATGCATCCTCCTCCTCCTCCTCCTCATATTCATCATCCTGAATCAATCTCTGCCTTCGCCTGCAACTGCCTTCCTGCGATGCGATGCGATGGGTGTGCACAGTCCTGGTTCTTCGTGTGCATGACTTTCGTCGCTATCCTGACCCTGGAATGCGCCACATTCTGGTACGCGAGCTGCACGTGGCTCTCGTACAGCTTGCCGGGCTCGAAGAACTCCGGGATGACCTTGTTCGCCGTGACGGCATGCCCGTTGAGCTTGGACACCACCTTGATGTCGTAGGGGGCCTTGAACGCCTTCATCGATGTGTTGATCAGCATCCGGTTGGCCCCCCAGTTATGCTTCGCCGGCTGGAACGACGAGCTCCCGCTGTGCAGCACCTCCACGCTCTCGATGTCGCCGGGCCCTCCGTGGAACTTCACCACGAACTCCAGCCAGAATGCTGTGGAGCCCTCGTCCACGTGAAATGCCATGTTCTGGTTCGGATGCTCGCACGGCACCCTCTTGTACATCACGTCCTCCAGCCCTATGTTCCTTAGCGACGCCTCCTTTCCGGTCTCTGCCATGTCGCTGATGGCTGCGGCGCTTAGATCGAAGGCCGGGTTGGACGTGCTGCAGTAGGTGCCTCCTGGGTTTAAGTCAGTTCATTTCAAAAAAATTTCAACAATCAAGCTTAACTATGAAATTTACCATAAAGAACTTCTTACAATTGTGAATTCATTTCAAGAATGGCGTCATCATTTAGAACATGCTTCTAATCCAATCAGTGTATATACAGATCACAAGAATTTTGAGTACTTCATGTCAGTATGTGTTTTAAATCATCGCCAAGTCTATTGGAGCATGTCTTTATCAAGATTTGATTTAAAGATCACATATAGATTCAAAAAAAATTAGGTTTGTCAAACATCCTTTTTAAACATTCTTACCTTACATCAAAAGAAGAAGATCTTGAGTACTTCATGCCATGTTCTGGTTCGGGTACTTGCACGGCAGCCTCTTATACACCACGTCGTCCAGCCCGATGTTCCGTAGCGCCGCCTCCTTTCCGCGCTCTGCCATGTCGCTGATGGCGGCGCCGCTGAGATCGAAGGCCGGGTTGGACGTGCTGCAGTAGGTGCCTCCAGGGCACAAGTCCGTCACGAAGACGCGCGTGGGCGTGGACTTGCACTTCGGGTACATGCACATAACGTCTCAGCGCTGGCCGCATCCCTTGCCCTCCTGGAAGATCGGGGCGTTGCCCGCGGCAATTTTGGGCCCGTATGGCGTGCCTGTGAGCTTGGTGTAGCCGCATGCGCCCCCGCTGGAGTCCTCGCCGTCAGGCTCCCCCTACCATGTGGCGTGGCCTGCCATATACTACTCGTTGTAGCCGTTTGCAGCCAGCTTGATGACGGATGATGTGTCCGCCGTCAGCTTTCTGCACACAGCCGGAGAGAGCAGTCCCAGAACGAGGCACAAGACTAGAAGTCGTGCTGATGCATCAAGGATTGCCATGGCTGCTCGACCACCAGGCAGAGACCTGCTCACTGGTGATGCCTTTGATGTACAGCAAGTCAAAGTGAAACAAGCCAGGCGAATGACGCAGGCAGAAGCTCGATCAATCCAACTGCCTCAGGGTCCCAAATCCAGCACAGTGAAGGCTGTAAAGACCCTGAGATGGATCGAAGAATGGATCGAGCTTGGGGGTTGGAACTGCGAGGCTGCTGATTTATGAGTTGGTTGGGGAGCGAGGCGCAGTCAAGTGGTGGAGCTTGGGCGCCCCTCAAAAGTTGGAGGATCCACCACCTGCACGGGGATGGCCAAGTAGGTGGTTAGGTTGGTTATGAAGAACTGTGCGAAGAAGGTGGGTGTAGTGGGCACTGACGATCGAGGAGCTCCAAGCACACATCTCTGAAATATCTCCGTGTATTTGTCCGACTTTCCAAATTGTGTGCATCCACCTTTTCGGAGCTGATCTCTAAGGTGATCTTAGTTTTCATGCACTACTTCAATAATAACAAGTTGTAATTGAGGTCCGTGTGTTGAACTTCCTGAGCTCATTGGTGTTTCGCAGTACTCCAGGGGGTACATCCTGCTTCCGAATTTCAGGCTCAAGTGGTGGTGAAGTTTTGAAGTGGATGGTTTGTCCACTAGGCACGTGGTTTCACTACATCACTAACCGAAATTTTGCTACATTTGTTTCTATGCAACTGTGTTGGTTTGTAATAGTAAGTAACCTCCACCAGGAAACGTACTTCTGTTTGCATTCGCCAGATATTACATGGTCCAAGGGAATCAACTCTTGTTTTTCTCTTAAACATCTTCAGGCGGTTCTTTTATATCCGAGTAAATGCCAAAGATGTCTTCACATCAAAACGACTTGAACGATAAGGCTCCTGCAAAGTGAGCCCCACCTACATTGGTGTACTCTTCTGAAGGACTTCTCAGAATCTAAAGGATTCATACTTCTATTCTGATGCTTCGTGCGCTTCACATTGTAATCTTTCACCTTTTCTGGGACAAGGTCTGAAGCTCCCAAAGGGCTGATAGAAGAAAATTGGTAAAGAATTGCAAGGTTTGGAAATGGGAGTGTGCTTGACCTGAGAACGAATTCCAGCGAGCATCTATTCATAAGTTAGGATGGATACCGTTTGCATTCTGCAACCCAATAATGAACTGCCTTAGAATCTCTATGTAACAGATCCTGTTGTATTTCATCCCCCCATTGAGAGATTTCAATTTTGTTTAATACCGAAGACATTTGATAATTGCCTGCTTGGCTAAACCTCAGAGAACAAGAATTGCTGTGACTTCGAAAATGATGAGGTAGCTTCCTGACCTGTGTCTTACAGTGTGGGTAACCTTTACATTCGTACATAATGCTGCAGACAACTGTTGCACCAATCCAAACCATAGAGTAGTGAACGATACATTCATCAAGAGATTTGGAACCTTGCTCTTGAAAAGGACTTGTGGGTAAAACATTTAATAAAATTGGGGATACTATGGTCGGAGTCTGCTCCTCCGTTTCTAGATCACAATCGTCGGGATTCTGGAGCATGCATATCCTCTTGCACTAGCATCGAACTTACACGTCTGTCAATTTCTTCAAGCTTTAGATTTTATGCTTGAGTCCTGAATCTAGAGTGAAAATATTTGCCGAGCATTTTGGACATAGTATAAACTTTCAAATTGTGTCCCAACTTCCACTTCAGTCGCATTAAAATTCTCAGAAATGAAAAGCTTTACCAGAAACTGAAACCCACATAATTTTCTTCTTCCACTCGAGCAGGTCTCTCCACAATGGCCTTAAATATTTACTCATCAATTGATTTACCTATAGCTTTTGTAGAATCTCAACTTGTCTTTTAAATTATTGTTTGAATTGCACTATATTCTAAGTAATTTAAAGGGGTCCTCATACATAAGGTAATAGGCTACAACTTTTAAATTTTTTCATAAGTTGAGAAACCTCACATAGTTGGTTTCACACTTTAAAAAAGCAACTCAAAAGTCTTAAGATAAAAGAATAAGATAAAACACACTTTCTTCTTATATGGCATAAATAATACTATCTCTTAGAATTTCTATTGTATCCATCCAAAGAGGTGGTTTTGTAAAACTTTTAAGAAATCATGTTAAAAATTGCTAAAAAATAAACTATAAAATTTGGTTTTTCTTAACACTTTTCATAATTACTAGAATTGAATTATGAATTGAAATATTTAGACTTGTGATAAAAAAAATAAAAAAATAATTATTTTTAATGACCTTTTTTTTTTTTTTTGTATTATATCCAAAAACTAAGGCTTTTTAAAAAAGTTTTTTCTTTACCAAGCAAGAAACTTTGGTGAGACTTTTGATCCATAACCTTTTAAAGCCAAGTTTTAGATGAAATAAGCCTTAGTTATAGATGTAAAGACGTTCTAAAGACAACTTTCCACTATAACTAAGGCTTGTATTCTACTCATCTATATTCATCAAAATATGTAATGATTTAAAAATAATACGTTTGATAAGGTGGACATGCCTATTCAACATATATTGACTATAGCATTAAAATGTGTAGCTATATATATATATATATATATATATATTAAAGAATCAAGAGACAAGGATTTTTTTAATCAAATGTGAGTTAAACTCATAGTGGTGCTAAGTATTACAACTTTGTAGAGATAATAAGCTTATCAAATTATAACTTAATATTCTTTAGTTTTTATTAAAAAAATATATGATGAATTCAGTAATTTTATTATGTATATCATTAGAAATTGGATTTTTTTTCTTACAGATTCTAAATTTAAGGTTTAGTTTTTATATTTGCTAAAATTATTCATTGAATGTTTCAAACCTCATCAATTGGATATATTAAAGAATTTAAAAAATTTTAAATAATTTAAATAATTTTATATGAAATAATAAATTAAAGTATAACATGAAAAAATTAAATTATTTTTCAAAACATGATTAATATTTAAAATTAAATCTTTTTTTAAAAAAAAATCCTATTTCTAGGCAATTTTTAAAAACATTTCATATACGAATATCTAAAAACACAAGTAGTCTTGTTTTTTAAATTAATAACTTACATATATGTGTATATATATATATATATATATATATATATATATATATATATATATATATACCATGCTTAATTTTCAAAAATATGATTAATTTTTGAACTTCATTATCATATCAATTATTAAAAAAATAAATATAAAACTAAAAGATAAACTTTTTTTAAATGTAAAAGAATCATTTAGATTTAAAAGCTTCCAAAAATTATTTTTAATTATGAAAATTTATTTTCTACTCATAAATAATTTATATCTAAATATGGTTTTTTATTTTAAAATTATATAATAATAAAAATAAAATAAATAAATACCTTCTTCTACCATCTCTAAAAATACCTATGGTATAAATACTAGTAGTTACTATTAAATTTGTAATTTTATTATTTTATTATTTCTTTCATAAACTATATATTTCTAAAAAATATTAATGTAATTATTTTATAATATAATAAAATTGTTATAAAAATATTTAAAATATTTTCTTTTAACAATTTTTAGTCCTCATATATATATATATATATATATATATATATTTACATTTTTATGATTAATATTACTTTGTAATGGTTCTATTTTATAATAATATTGATTAATGAAATTTTATATAGTTTTATATGTAAATTTAAATTTATATATTTATATGATTTAAATCATTAAAATTTCATAGTAGAATAGATTTTATATAATAAAAATATAAAATTATATAAATTATATAAAAAGTAAAATATTTTTATATAATGAAATTTAGATTTTTTGTGTGTTAGGTTTTATTATTTTACAATTAATAAAATTTGTCTATCTTATTCGAAGTACTATTTTGTAATACATTACTTTGAAACATATATTATAAATTTATCTTTTGATAAATTATTTTAATAAAAATTTAAACTTTATAAAATATAATTGTATTTTTAGTTTTTTTAGTTTTTTCCTATTTAAGAATATTATATTAAGAATAATTTAAATATTATTTTATTAAATTAATGATTGAGTAATAATAAAATTTGGTTTGTAATATACAAAGATGATATGGTTTATTTGAGAACTAATATTAAGGAAAAAAAATAAGTTGATAGTTTTTATAATATTTTTAAATAAAATTTATATTATTTTAGTAGATAAGTATGATGTCATTAATATAATATTTTTTTGATATTAAATTTTTATGAAAACTTAAAAATCAATCAACTGAAATATTACAATTATAACAATATACAAGATATTTTATTTCATAAAAAATAAAGTAAAAGGTATTTTGTATTGATATGTTTAAAGATTTGTTTAAAGAATTCAAAGTTAAATAATTTGGTCTTAAAATGTAACAGAAAATTAAAAGATATTTCTTTAGTAAATTTTAAGTTTTAAATATTTTAAATTTGAAACCATCATTTTAAAAATTACAAATCAAATTATTTTGTTGAAGATAGTTAAAGTTAGTAAGATTTATCTTTTGAATACCAGATTTATTAATACCAAATTTATTTAAGCATCTAATTATTTATTGAATAACAATTATTATAATTATTTAATAAACATTCATTTAAATTAATAAACGTCTTTAGAAATTGATTTCTAGTATGTAAATTATATAGAATGTTTTTCACAATTAGATATTAATAAAATTTAATTAAATTTAAAACACAAATTAAATGTTTATCATATAAATAACTTGGTATTTTGATGTATTACATATCTATATATAAATTTATTTAATTTATTAATATGTTGAAATCTTTAAAAAATTCTTTCAAAATTATAAGATTTGCATAATCAATTGTATCAATAATTTCTTTGATTTTATTGATAATACTTTATAATTTGCTATAAGAACAAAGGTCCTTCTTAGATTGTAAACTTATATCCTTTAACTAACATTTCTTGCATAATTTATAAAATTTTGATGTTAAGAAATCAATGTTAACCATCTTGCTGTTGAACTGAATTGCGGAACATGGGATTTCTGTTCCAACATGTATAACTTCTGATGCAATCACTGCCACCGAAGTAATCCTCATCACATCTTACAATCAACTAAAAATTCTCCACAGTGATCTCATATCATCAGTTATTATCCTCTAAAAAGTGAGTGTAAAGTTTCCATAGATTGATAAATAGAGATACAGGAAGTGTGGATAACATGGTGTGATGAAATTTACAACTGACAGCGGCGAAGTGAATGCGACGAAATCAGCGTTGCTTGGGGTGTTGCAGCTGCTGCTGCTTCACATATGCACGATGGTGTTTGTCGACGTGATCGCGAGTGAAGCAAAGATGCGTGAAGAGGGTCTGCCGAATTGGTTTCTGAGCCACGTAGTGCGGCGGAATCAAGCAATCCGGATGGCGCCACATCTCCGGGTCCTGACATTTCGAAGGGCGCGGGTACTTGTACGAGCAGCGCGCACGCAGGGTCCCCGATGCCTCCGCTGGCTGCTCCGCTCCATCTCGGGGATCATAGAACTGCCTCCCGAACTGGCGAGAGCTCCGAGAGGCAGCGCCTTTGTTCAGAATCCCGCCCGTTCGCGCCAGTTTTGCTACTTCCCAATCAAGTGACCAGATCTCGAGACTCGCTCGGCGGATTCTCTACCCAAGTTTCGTCTAGATTCCAAGCCGCCGCACACCACCAACATTCGATTCGATTCGATCCGATTGTTTGCGGAGCTTACGGTGAGTGCGCTCACATGGGTTATGCATCTGGAAATGAGCCTTTCTGGGGATGTCGGTGGACGTGCCTGGGATCCGGAGGCGAGACGGATGCGACTGTTGGTGGTGAAGAGTCGTCACATCGATGCAGTGGTGCTGCAAATCGGTGGCTAGTAAGTGTCATCAGACGTGAGATCCACCGCGGCTGTGGATGCGCAGCCCCGTAGTGGACTCCGAGTCGCCATCTCGAGCCCAGAAAGTCATCTTCCAGGCCCACAGTTGCGTATGCCGCAAGCTTGTCGCCGCACTCATCGTTACAGTCCGTCGCATTATGAGTCTCTATCCTCCATCGCCTTCAGCGTCGCCTGCTTCCCCGTTGTCGATCTTCTGCCAAGTCTCTGATTCCCCAAAAGCAGCTCCCTCGCTCTCTCTCTATCTATCTATCTATCTATCTATCTACAGAGAGAAATTTGTAGATATATATATAAAAAAACAAATATATGTATATATATATATATATATATATATATATATTGATACCGTTAATTGCAAGATTGAATAAGTTATTCGTAACTACTCCAGAATAATGCGGTGCGAGTAACTATTTCGACGCCGTGCTGTTGGGATGACTTTGGATTTCGATGCCTTCGCAGTGAACAGTGTGCAATTGTTTATCCTTTAAAATAATGATCATAATAAATGATAAGGTATTGGTGGCAGGTATTTTAAGAAAAGCTTTCTTGTTTGAGATAAAGTCAATATACATTGCGTTTTCATTTATAGTGCCATGATAGGTATTGTCTTTTCCATATGATTTGTCGGTTGTATAATGGGTTTATTCTAAACAACTCACAGACTTTGAGTTTTATCACTTCGGAAATTTGATGTAGCATGTTATAATTTTTTATCATTATTCAAGATCTATACAAGCTACAATATGAACTCATTAAGTACGGATTTGACATATTGTGAATTTAAATGTTTTTACAGTTTATGCAAAATAATCTTAATAATAATACTTCGAAATTTGGTATGCACATTATTGGCTTTGTTGAATTTTCAAAAAGGAAAATTTATAATCCTTTGATTTTTCAAAAATATATATTTTTTATAGATATTTTTTTATTGATTTCAAAAAAATTATAACTACTTAAGAATATACATTTAGATTTTTTCTAATATACAAATTAAGTTTTAAAACTTATTTTCATATGAGAAATTATATTACTTTGTTTGATAAATGGTAAAAATATATATTTGTGCTATATAATCAAATATATAACACATCATTACTTGGTAGTTAGCCACAATATATGATTTTAACACTCATTAAAAAGTGATTTGAGCACCTCTTCACAAAGTTAAAAAGTTTAGATATAATCTATATTGTTCTGATAGTTTTAATAGAATTAGAAAAGCTAACGAGTCAACCTTGTACAACATACTTCAAAATTATTTTATGAATACCAATTATAATGTTTTTGTTTTATTCTCTGTATTACATTGTAATATATGGATTGAAAATATTGACATTCAGCATTCCATAACTCCATGCAAGACAACCTTTGTAGTATTACAGCAAAATGACAATAAGTGGGACAAAATCTTCTTTGCACGCAAATCTCAAAATTTTGATTAAAAAAAATAATAATAATCAAGTCCATGATAAAGTAAATAAAAATCTTGCCATGCAAGAAGTTATGGATTTGGACCGTGGGGCCAACAGGAGATCAATCATGATGCCTTTGTTATCATGTAACATATGTATTTTATATTGTTTTGGACCCAAATATCTTCAATTGAAGTCATCAACTTAAACTACCAAGACAAACAAACACACTCAAAAGATTTCAGACCTACTCCTTAAATGAACATTTATTACAAACATTCATTCTAATTAAGTACTAATCTGATGATAATTTCTCCCTAACCCCCTTCATAGAGACACCTTATTATTTAATACCTACGCAACGCAGCGGACGCAACACTTAGTGCCCACCTGGGCAGGAAACGACGCCCAAGTGTTTCCCATTCCACAACGTCCAGATTCATTCTCGACAAGTGGGCTGCGACGATGCAGGATGATGAAACTAAGAATGAAAACCATCAGAAGCTCCAAAAGTCTAAACACCTTTATCGAACATTTAAACGCATGAGTGGTTGCACATGTCAACAGGAGCTGAATCTGCGGGGCATCACAATGCATGGAACTGGATCCATGTCTTGGAGGAAACACACACTGACTAGACGAAAAAGCGTGCATGATGGGGTGAAAAACTACACTTCGATAGGAAGCACTTTGTCCCTTTTTTTTTGCTAAACCCTAAACCTGCTCTTGGACTGAAAGATGGTTGCCTTGCCTTCCCAGCCGCCTTGATGGATCAGTGTCTCTCTCTCTCTCTTTGGGGATGGGTTGGTGCCGACTGGTTGTTCACCGTATCAGCGGCGTATCAGAATTGCAGGCGGTGGTCGCTCATGATAGTTGAGCTGATCACTGCATTGGGTTTTACACCTTGAATATATCTTTGCGGTGAGACTGTGTTGAAATGAATAGCTGAGGCTAAGGTTATGGCAGTAACGAAACATTGCAGTGTCTGTTAGAGGTGTGATTTTATTAAATGAGAATTCAGCATTTTGTCGAACTGTGTGGCACCCCGTTGAAATTCTTTGTATGGAATTGCGGGCATTTGCGAGGTGTTTAAGAGGTTGAGAGCGATGTGTAGTGACATGATTAGAGTTAGGGGTGGTTTCGATTGGCGATGGGTTTGGCATCACGGAGGAGCGTGGGATTGATGCAGCGGTTCGTTTGTCGAGGTTTCAAATCTTTCAAGTTCATCTGCAACTCCGGTAAGGAGGTTTCGACATCGAGAACTGCTGATCTCGTTTTAGGTTATCACGCAGAATGATTTCAACATCATCCCAACAAGACGTTTCGGCAAGATGGGGCCCAGAATTTTGCGCAGGGAAATATATAGAACTGAATTAACACTTGACTGTGCACAAGTAGTCTAAATGTTTCACTCGCTTACCAGTTGAATCTTCTACAGGAACTTGAGAAGTCGTCGAAGACAGTTGGCACACCTACACTTCATCCCTCGTCACTGTTCGATGCATTAGAGCTGCATTAGGAATCTACTTCATGAGAAAGTCTGTGTGCTCTAGTGCCACCTCACCATTTGAGGAGTCTATAGCAGCTGCCCGCGTTACGCCACATGGCATGCTTCCAAATTTTGTTTTTTCATATGTTGCCAAGTGTATTGAGATAGGTTTTTAGCAAAGACTTCTGGAATGGTTCGACTGCATCACACCTGCTGGGGACTGTGTTCAACGTTTTCCATTCATTGTTTTCTATAAACTGATACCCATTTTAGAGGATGGTGCCGCTGGGCACTGTCGCCAGTGTGAAAAATGTGATAGGATGATGATGGTGAGGCGAATAAGATAAGAATGGGTGTGTATTCTCCTTATCAAGTTATGCTTAGCTAATATGCCTCTGAAATCAATCATTTACAGACAGCATAAACTTAGCGATTGCGCTGCGTGGTAGTCTTGAGGTTGATTCTGATAAGGCGGTGATTTGGCTTTTAAACATATTACCTGAATGCCGGAATCTGAAGAACACCCATGGCTATTTGTTTCATGATTGATAATCCACCATTGATACTACAGTGAATAGCACTCGACGCATCAGTGCTCAGCCAAATTTGAAACTTCGGTGTCGTCGGTTTTCTGCTACTTGCCGTCGATTAAATTCGCACGTCTGTAAGGGATTAATTTTAGACGATGAACATTATGGCTCTGTAATTTACACTGTACCTTAACTCTGAGCACACGATCAATTATTCAAATTTGACCTCTCCTGCATTTTATCAGAATGTTGACTGGGTTGTTATCGTTTTGATTTTTTTCACTGAACCATCAGTAAATATTTTATTTTTCAATAGAATAAAACCATCCTCTACTGCAAATTAGAATAGTTTGTTTTCTTTTTCCTTCTTCTTGTCAGGGTAGTCTGGTCACGGGGAAGGAGAATCAACCATATACTAATTACTCTTCGAATTTGAAGTTGCACAATTTGCGACATGATTTTCATGGTACCCTTCGTTAATTAATGGCTTGTGGAAATGCACGAGTGACTTTAGGGTATCGAATGCTCCTACAGATTTAGATACTGAGATTGCTTCTATGCAGCTTGAGTGAAGGAGTGCCGTGAAGGAAACCGAAGCGTATGATTTCTAATATAGCCCGGGATTGGACGCGGAGCATACAATCAAACAAGAAGTAGCTTCACAGGTTACGTTTACCATACAAAATTCCCTGCCTTGATATTTCACAGGATTCGAACTATGCATAATTGTTCTTCGATGAGACTCTCATGCTGGTTGCTATTTACAGTGAGGAAAATATCTCACGAAGTGGTGGGCCATAGGTTCTCTTTTCGCTCATTTTGGCGCCGACTAAAGTACTCAGAGTGCCGAGCTTAAAAAACCACATTATTTGCCTGACTTAAATAATGAGCAGGGTGCTGAAACAAGGGCATTATCAGATTATCATGCAGATAATGACCACGCGTTGCTGTCTCCCCGAAGTTAGCCGAACTATCCTGCAAAAGACCCCGTCGATCCCACCAAACATGGTCAATACAACCTCCAGCTTGTGTTAAACCTCCTCGGTGACAGCGACGGCGAGTCTGTAGCTCAAATTTGCTAGAGCCGGTGGCGCGGACACATGGCAGGAGCACAAAAATGTTATGTAAACTTGCCGATCTTACTATTCGCACCCTTGAGTTCGGAGAAGCAGTTTCTCTGCAAATAATATCTACTGTTTATTTTGTGCCAATTGTACTGGTGCGTAGTGTACAGGTGGGGTCACTCCCGAAGTCACAAAATTCGGCCAAGTGGGGTCGACCCCGACAAATATGGACGAGAGATTCGCCTATCGTTGCGACCAAGCGAGGGAACTCTTTTCTGGGGTACACGCCCATAAGCAGACTAGTCCCGCAGTTCTTTTCTCAAGTGGCGGTGTTCAGGAATCCAACAAACCACCCCTCCCCTTCCCACTTGCTGCTCCTCGTCACGGTGGAGAGGGTGGTGATGGGCACTTCAATATCTGCTCGTACTAGTCACGTCCAGTCGAGTCGTCACTGTCTGTGCCCAGGTTCCGTTGGATTCGGTCATGCCGCAAATAAGCTCGTACTTGAGTTGATGAGAGTGTCATCACAATTCCGGTGAAGATGGGGTGATTATGTTGCTTCTCTCAGTTGCATCGACGCCCTCTGATTCTTCTAATGCTTTTGAGGTTTCCAAAGAATCCCAAAACTTCTGTCTTATTTTCGTTGCACTAGTCTAGTGTCGATTGCCTCTTATCCTTGTGCATAGTCGAGTTTAATATTAGTTCATAGAAATTGAGTGCACATATAAAATTGAAGCGGGTCACGAGTCTATCTTTCTCCCTTCGTGGTATCTGCTGCAGCGATGGAGACTTCTCCCCCTCGCTTTGATTCACAAAGGTATAGCTAAGTTCCCTCTTCAAACCATACATTTCGGAAACAATGTGGGTAGTGTGTCGTCGTCCACTCTGTACCGACTTTGATGCCTTCAAAGATTCAGTTCATAAGTCAATCTGGGCGTGAAATCGTCGTTTCTTCGGTCATGAGCGACGTCAGAGAGTGATTATATCCGGATTTTTTCTCGTTGTAGATGGGTTGTGTCGGATACTAACGCGATAGTGCATCATGATTTCAAGTCCGAGATGAAGATGACTGATTCCTCCTGACAGCAAAATCTTAATTTTGCGATCTTCGACTCTGATAGACACTGACGGATCTGTCCACATGATACTTACAACGGTGACATCACTAGTGCATTTGTTGGGTCGTTACAATCGAAGTCCATCTTACTTTGAGTTGAACCAGTCGGTTAAGGTTCAGTTTTGGTCTCTGATTGAAACTGCTGTCCATCTTATCCCCATCAGAAACATTCCTTTGAGCTCCAAACTCTCGAGTATTCAGTGTAGAGCCTCAAACGTAGAGTATCAAGGATATAGGAACTTCTCAAAAACCTGAAGTTGATCTTCCCGAACTCATCAAGCTGGCGCTTCTTCTTTTAATAAGTCTTGTAGTAGTTATGTCTGGCCTGATGTTGAACTGTGGATTATCGTCTAATTATCAGTCATACCACTTCAATTCGATGCTTCCCATGCTGGTTCGTCGGTTGGGGTCCATGGCAAGCAATATTGCCGCAGAAGACAATTGGCATGGCGCTATCGAGGTTGTCATATCCGCACCCGTGGAGAAGGTCTGGGCAATCGCCTCGGACTGGCTCAAATTCCCGCGTCGATGTTCAGTTGAGTGTGCCGAGGGAGAGAACGGCGTCCCTGGTTGTGTTCGCAAGGTCCAAGCGCACAATTCTAGCTTCTGGGTCGCCGAAAAGCTCACTGAAATCGACCACGATAAACGATTCCTCACTTATGATCTTGTGGGTGGCAACACTGGTATTGAGATTGGTTATAGAGCTGCCTTCCAAGTGAGTTCCATTGCCAATCCCCCTTCGTTTTGCCTGTCAATGTTCATCTTCCACTTGAACAGTTAGACTGTATACAGATATGTTTCGTGCATTTTTTGCGAGTCCGACCCTTTGAATTATTGCGAACTCAACCTGCCTGTGCGATTTCCGCTTCTCATTGTGGACGTCGAGAAACACGTTCTTCACTGTCTCTTGAAAAATCTTCACCCTTTCGGCAATGCGAAGATGCACCACAGCACATTAGTATGATACTTCGAAAATATCATGGAATACACTATGTATCTTCTATAGGCTTCTTTGTGGATTAGTGGAGCTCAAATGGCAAAGAATTCGAGTTTCCCGTTGATGTTTGTTTTATTAATGAGAGGTCAATGATTTTACTGAGCTATCAGTTGAGCATTGCAGTCGATTACTGTATTCATGATCGAATGTAGGGTTGAGAGTATACTCACTATGTTAGTTGACGATGAGATTATACTCACTATTCTGATTGTGTTTGAGTGATTACCAGGTCATAGATGAAGGAGAAAGTAGGACCAGAGTGGTGTGGCCTTTCATGTTCAGCCCTGAGCAGGTCAGTGTGGAGTCACTGATTTCTGTTGTTAAGAAGAAGGTAAAAGCTCATATTAAGGAACTCGAGCAGCTCGCCCAAGATGCTTAGCTCAAGCGTGCTTGAGATTGAACCAAACAAACTAAACATTACTATGTACAACAGGCTTATTGCCACGTCCTCTTAACGACTTGATTACTTCGTTCTTTTTGAAAATTTTCAACACGGTAGTGTTTTCTTTTCGGACAAGCACGCAAAGTGGCTATCGGAGGTTCCACGCATGTGATTCCGTTAAGCATCTGGAACTGACTAGAACACCTGAGAGTATGAAAATAGTTCACAGGCAGATGCTAAGACCAAAAAGCGGGTGTTTGTCAGTAGTGCTTTCTTTTCTTCGTTCTTTCACTTGGCTGCACATCGTTCGACAACAGCATGCATTTTACTTACCAGAAAGTCCCAATCTGAATCGAAGCGGAAACGGCACGTTTCTGACTCCCGGGTAGTGCCCATGAATGTTGTTTTTCTAGTTTTTACCAGCTTGCAAGCTGGAGCCGAGAGTATTCTCTTTGGCTCTCTCCTTGCAAGTTGTGCATACTGTTGATGATTCTGTTACTACCCAGTAGATGTAGCACCACCACCGTCTCTAAATTTTTCTCTCATTGATACATGGTGAGTATGTTTAGGAGATAGTCTTGTATTTTCAGTGACTTGAAATTTTCAAGTACTTCGGTAGTACTTGGTGCACACCAGCTGGAATAGCACGAAGTAGGATAGAAGTGGTTCCCTTTATGCTTGCTATCATATGCAAGCTGTTGGTTTTTTTCCTTACTCTAGAAGTAAGTTGTCACTGCGTTCCACTTCCAACTCCTCAAATTTTTACTCTGGTATATGATCTCCAAATGTCGCAGTACGAAGGTGACATATGACTACGTTCACATTTCTTTTCATGGGCTTTGCTACCATGTGTACAGACCTCTCTCTTACAATAAAACGGCTTGTGCCTTATTAAATCCTGATTGTACTTCTAAGCCAGCTGATCCAACTTCGCATGGACCAACCCAAGTTATTGTGATGTTAGATTGTTGTTTTTCTCTTTTCATTGAATGGAATCAGCCAGTGGAACGGAGTTCAAAATGCGTGAATCATACCTTGTTTTCCATATCATGCTTTGTTCAGTTGCTAGCTCGAGGCTTCATCCAATCTGCTACCACCTCAGAGGACCCTCGAAGCTGCTTTAGTACGAGTCGCACATCAACAACAGATGGACACCGTATTGTAACATGATTAAAGAAGACGCAAAAGATGATCATCTTCCGCCCCACGCAACCTCCGTCCCACGCAACTGGTCCAGACTATTTTCACGTGCATTAGCTGCCTTCTCAGAACTGAATTCTCGATTACGTCGATTCTATGTATGCACGAGTCCTGATCCGTTCGATAAGCTTAACCATGCCGTTTGATTGTTGCAATTACAGGTCCACCCTGAGAACACGATCAAGAACCAGCATCATACTATCCTCGCTTTGTTTCAACATGCGAGCACTCAATGCAGCGAACTCATGCAGCTGATGCGTGATTCCCAGCACTCAGTAGGCTCGCTTCAATACTGTATCATACATGTCACACATCCACACGAGTCAATTATAGATCACAGATCACAGCAGCATTCTTATGGATTTAAGCAGCCCAACTCAGTAGCAACACGTATTCATATTTTGTGTTAACGGATGTGCTGGCTTAGTCAGGGAAGTCGATCGATGTCCATACAATCAATGAAGGGAGGTTTAGAAAGTTATCGTTCGTTCTGCTGGTGACATTCAATTAGAGTGGCGAGTTTTTCCGAAATTCCTGTACCGAATGCAGTAACGACTACGGCTTCTTACGAATACACATCTCAAACTGATGGTGCAGAGTCTTTCTTATTTCACATCTGATTTTGCTCATCCAGTCATTGTGCAAAATAAGAGCGACAAACTTTAATTAAGGCCAAAACTAAATCTCATGAACATGTGGTATTGAAAAAAATACACTAAGTTTTTTAGTTATTTTGATGTTTTGTGATTTGGATATTGTGTTGAAAAGGTAACCTTTTATTGGTGTATCTTATGTTGGGTAAATGTTATTTTGAACATGGTGCTTAATGCATCCTCTACTCTATGGGGCTTTTCTAATGCTAGTGAATTAGTCAATGATAGAGTTTTAAGTTTAAACATAAATTTGGAAATTCTATAGAAACTATTGGACTCAAGAAGTGTTTGTCTATGAATTTGGATAAAAAATTACAATCTTTTCACTTAAGTCAATAATTAAAATTCTTCTAGTTCATATTTATAATAAAGTGAATTCATATCTACACAACTGTAGATTGATTGCATAAAAATTAAAAATTAAAAACATATATATATATATATATATATATATATATTTAAGAATTTATCATGCTATTTCAAGTTTTGATTTAAAATAATATGATCTTTATAAAAACTATATTCTTTAAACTATACATCAAATGTTTTAAAATTCTAATTTTATCATTTTTATTTATAAAACAAACCTATTATTTATAAAAATATATATAAGTATTTTATATTTTATATACTAACATATATATATATATATATATATATATATATAATATTTTTTATTTTTTATAAAAAATTTATCATCTTACTTATAGAATTACACCTGTCCAATTAATTTATCTATATAATTTTTTGTTTCTATTTTTGTTTTTTGATTAATATCATATTATTTTATATGATTATGATTGGTACAAACAAAGTTTAGTAAATTTTTTTAATTAAGAAATTATTCTTTTGTTACTATGGTCAAAATGGTCTTTTTTAATACCATTTTATTAATATCTTTCAACAAGTGAAATAAAATATTTTCAATTAAAAGAATAATTTTTAATAATGCATCCTTACTCTCTACTTATTTCTGAAACCAACCAAGGTACTAAATAAAAAACTACACCAAAAATTTGAAACAAATTTGTTAATTAATTAATAATTACTCCAAAATTGCTTACAACTATTTATATGTTGATGTTTTTTTAATACTACTATATCAAAATCAACATTAAAAAATAATATATAAAACATCAATTGGCTTGATTAATTTTGCAAATATTTTAGACTCTGAATTAATTGGCAAAAACTACTTGGTCAATAATGAAGTTTGTCTTCCAAACCTCCATTGATAGCAAATTTCAACAAAATGTGGCTTGACTATAACAAATTAATAAAAAAGGAAAAACCTAGCATCTAACTTATTTTCAAAAATAGGTTTTATATTTTTTTATTTATTTAAATACAAGTTTTTGTTTTGGTACAAGTTAAAATTTTATTTTTATAAAAAATATTAATTTATTTTTATCATTATATAATATATACATATAGAATATAGAATATTTAGAATTCAATTGCTAGTAAGAAATTATGTAAGAAATAAAAGATATATATAGATATATATATATATATATATATATATAGACCAAAAAATAAATATCAATACAAAATATTAATTCTAATAAAGTTGATATAAATATTTGAATAAGAAATTATTAATTTTATTAGATGGATCTTATGTAAAACATGCAAATATTCCACATATATAAATAAATATTATATATATATCTATATATATATATATATATATATATTTAGAGAGAAAGTATTAGTGGGTATTAATAAGATCTCTACTAGCTACAAGTTTTGGCAATGTGGTACTTCTAGATTTTTTTATTCTACTATTAGGATGGCAAAAGAGCCAAGGAGCAAAAAATAAAAAATAAAAGATGCAAGTTTTGTAACTAGGTCTATTAATCTTTCTGAAACCATTCTAATTTTTGTTGATTTTTATTTAAATTTTGAGATTTTTAAATTTCACTTCTATATTTTTCATTATTACAAAATTTCTTGATAAGTGAAGAAACAAGTTAAATTTGTAGACAAATTTAATATACATATTTTACCTTGAAATAAAAATTTAGGATTTCTTTTACTCATATATAAAAAAAAAAAAAAAAAAACAAAACAAAACAAAACAAAACAAAGCAAAAAAAAATCTAAATAATTTATCATTGAAATTTTTTTTATTGTTTTAAAAAAGTTAAAAGAAAGTAAGAACCTTTTTTTCTGTAGAATTAAATTCTATTTCAGAAAACAAAAAATAAAATAAATATATTTTAAATAGAATAAATGTTGCAAAACCAGTTGTACTTTGATTCTTCAACTTACTGTTAAAAGAATTCATCAAATGTTCATTCAAAATTCACCCACATATTTTAAATTAGATATGAAAAGTTTCTAATGTTGGAATTAGTAGTCAAAATGAAGCCAAGGTTAACAAAGTTTATTATAAAGATAAAACAAAAATTGAATTAGAATAATAATATTGAAGTTAAAGAACATAATACTCTAATTTGCAATTCAAACAAAATTTTATTACAAAAAAAAATTCTTAGAACTATATATATATATATATATATATATATTATTTTTTGTTGATTTCTGCAAGAAATATGACAAATCATCATGACAGTTTCTGTTTGGATCTTATGTATCTAATGAAACTATTTGACTCACAATGTGCCAGTCAAGCCATCACTTTAAACACTTTAAGTAATAATAAAGCTTATATTAGAGTATAAGATAATATACTGGTTGAAAATTTGAAGAGATATTAGTGTATCTATATACAATTGAAACTTGTTTTATTAAAGAAAATTATATTGTTGAAAAACCAGTGTATATTTTTTAAAAAATCCTATAATAGATATTATTGTAATCCTCCTAGATTAGAATTCATTACAAAATTGATTACATATCTTATAATAAAATTGACTTTAAAAATTGCTAATATGCATCCAATGGAAAAAACATTATTCATATTTTAAATAGAAACTTAAATTTTGATCAGATATTATAAAATATTCTCAATAAAATACAAAATATATATATATATTAATATTAAAATATACATATACAAATCACATATATTAAAAAATTATTATTTCTTTTATAAAATTAGGTGTTTTTATGAGTATTTTTACATGTAGAAATTTATTTTTAATCATTAATAAGTCTTTACAAAAATAAAATATAAGCCAATTTATTCAATGTCAATAATAAAAATAAAATATTTTTATATAATTATCAAAAATATATAAAAAATTATAATTTTTTTATAATTTAGAATTTTTAAAGAAATATAAAATATAATAAAATTAATATTATAATTATTTTTAAATTATTTTTAAGATATTAGCTCAAATTAATTAAAATACTAATAAGTTTTAACCACAAGTATTTTGATACTTTATATTGGCTATTTAAAAATTTTAGAGTTGGTCATTGATTTGTTTAAAAATATATATGTATGTATATATATATATATATATATATATATATTGTACCTAATCCAATAAATTAGACAAACTAGCCATTACATATAGGACATGTATTCTTACCTCTATTCTTTAGATTAAGCCTACTCACTAAAAATGCATTATTAGCTATGGTATGGTGATTGAGTGAATTATCAAATGCAACAAGAGCTTTGCATCCAAGGTACAAAGATGTTATCAATATTCGATTGCTTGCAGCTTATAGTTGAAGATTGTTATTGTGGAAGTAATTATTTGTATATTTTTTTGCATTTAAAATAGTAGTATTGTTTGGGAACATGTCATCACTATATTCTATTAGATTGTAATAGAGACACAAGAATGTAATAATCACTATACATGTCTTTTTTCTTTTAGGCCTTAAGAACTTCTGCTCTTTGTCTTTTCAAATTAAACTCTTGTCATCATCAATAGCAAAGGATAATTTATCATTCATGATAAATATGAATTGTACATTTGTAGAATCCTCTAGCAAGATGATTTTATTCATCTCAATGTCATTGTATCCTTCCATCCATTGTTGCCAAATTTATATTTGATTGATAATTTTTTTTCAATACTTTACAACGTCAGGGTATTTTTTACCATTAATATATGTATTGCCTTG